CCATATGTTGTCTGGAGAAGGCGGGGCTGCCTCTTCAACAAGGTTCAAGTCAAAACGACGGTCGGAGGGGCCAGACATTTTCAAAGGTGTTGAAGAGAGAAGAGGTCGGACAAATCAAGATCTTAGAAGTGCAAGAATGGAGCTTCTACTGGTGGATATTCAAGTGTGCTTTAGGAACTTAATGTCAGCCCCTATAAAAAATCTGCACTCGACGAAGCTTCAGAAATCGAAAGAGGCGCCTGCTTCAGAAATCGAAGAGGCGTTTGCTTTCTCAAAAGCTGGGCTGCTCAGAGACCACGAGGGTCGATCTCAGAAATCGAAGAGGCGTTTGCTTTCTCAAAAGCTGGGCTGCTCAAAGACCACGAAGGCCGATCTCAGAAATCGAAGAGGCTTGCTTTTCTCAAAAGCTGGGCTGCTAAGAGACCACGAGGGCCGATCTCAGAAATCGAAAAGGCACCTACTTTTCCAGCCTTGTCAGCACCTGTCACACGCACACTCAGCTTTGCGGAAATTATGGGCATTCTGTCGAAGATTTCTGGCGAAGTAGAAAGCACATGAATCGTACTGTTCAATCACCCACTTCCCACACGCAACAGTAACTCATGGGTACCACAGATAACTTTGCCAAAGTTCTCTGACAAAGTTGAGACACGTGAAGCTTGCAGCTCCCACTACATCGCTCTGACCAAGAAGGGTAAAAGAATTGCAAAGAAACAACACTAACAAAGTTTAGACACATAAATTTTGAAGGTCTAGCTACCATATTATTACCCACAAGGGTAAAGGAACAGTACCACTGCTGGATAATTGGAAAGTCCCGGTGTGTCAACCTCTGTGCTTCGTGGCAAGGTAGACTAGCAAACATGCCCAACCTTTACTCACATTCGAGAAAACACTCCCAACAAGGATTGCTTGCTCCAAAATCGAAGAGGCACCGCCCTCCGAATCTCGAGAGCCAGACTCCCAACATGATTACTTTCTAAAAATCCGAAGAGAGGGTAAAGGAACAGTACCACTGCTGGATAATTGGAAAGTCCCTGTGTGTCAACCTTTGTGCTTCGTGGCAAGGTAGACTAGCAAACATGCCCAACCTTTACTCACATTCGAGAAAACACTCCTAACAAGATTGCTTGCTCCAAAATCGAAGAGGCACCGCCCTCCGAATCTCGAGAGCCAGACTCCCAACATGATTACTTTCTCAAAAATCGAAGAGAGGGTAAAGGAACAGTACCACTGCTGGATAATTGGAAAGTCCCTGTGTGTCAACCTCTGTGCTTCGTGGCAAGGTAGACTAGCAAACATGCCCAACCTTTACTCACATTCGAGAAAACACTCCCAACAAGATTGCTTGCTCCAAAATCGAAGAGGCACCGCCCTCCGAATCTCGAGAGCCAGACTCCCAACATGATTACTTTCTCAAAAAACGAAGAGACACCGCTCTCCGAATCTCGAGAGCCAGACCCCCAGCAGGATTGCTTTCTCAAAAATCGAAGAGGCATCGTTCTCCGAATCTCGAGAGCCAGATCCCCGACAGGATTGCTTGTTCGAAAACCGAAGAGGCACCATTTTCCCAACTTCAAGAGCTGGATCTCCTTGGATAAAGCTTGTCTGTAATCTTCACACGCAACATCAGCTTTCCAGATACCACAGACCACTTTTTCAAAGTGCTCTGACAGAGTTAAAACATGTGAAGCTGGCAGCTCCCACTACCGTGCTATGACCAAGCAGGGTAAAGGAATAGCATTATTACTTGATGTTAGGGAGACTCCTATATATGTCGACCTCCATCCCTAACGGACAGGCAGACCTGCAAAAATGCTCAACCCTTTCTCTTATCTGAGAGGGCACTCCCAACGAAGCCTTTCGAAATATTCAGCTTTCTTTCCCCCCGATAATACCTCTGTAAACAAGCTATACTAGAGCAAGAATATCTCATATCATCAGGGTTAAAAGCAAGAGTATCCCATATCATGCTTTTTCCCTGTCTTTTCCTTTGGCCTTGTTCTTACCTGCAAGACAAGGAGAAAGAGAGCAATCAGTCAGCACTTGGAATCAAGCTTCCAGCCAGGAACTGACTGCCTGGAACCCCTTACCTGATTACTTACCTGGCATTGCTCTCGAGTACTCATCTTCAACATCTTATGCTTCCAGGGAAGATACGCATCTGCCTGAGGAACAGATAGGGCAAGTGAGAAGGATACAAGGAAGCATGTGGAGACAAGCGTAACAGCACACGTGCCGATACATCCACTACTCTGTCAAAAGCAAAAGTATCCCATATCAGCAGGGTCGAACGTACTCTATAGATTTGATGGACTTGTTTTGACCCTCAAATTCTTCAGTCGGCCTTATACTCTGGAGGAAACCAGAAAACCCTCCAGCCCAGTTCAAGAATAAGCCTGTGGAAAGTTACTTCTTCAAAAGCAAAAGTATCCCATATCATCTCTTCTCATTTTTCTTCTCTTTATCCTTCATGCTGCCTGCAAGATAGGGAGAATGTGAACAATCAGCCGGAGCTCTGATTGCTTACCTTGTCTGTCACCTCTTTCAGCAGATCCCCTAGCTCGGCGACTTGGGGGACTCCTACTACATGGTTTGTATCGCGCTTGACCAAGCCTGAAACTACAAGTAAGCTTCAAGTGAAATTGATACATTACCTTGTGCATCTCCACCAGTTACAGATACCACCCCTGGATGGAGGAAGAGTACTTCCAGAGAAGATGCCACATCTACCTATGAGACAGATAAGGCAAGTCAAGACGATACCACACTCCGGTACTTAGAAGTTTCGTGGTTACGAGATCATTCTCCCACAATATTTCCTAATGTCATTTGTACTAAATCATTCACTTGTACTCACTAAAGGAGAGCTTGAACCTATGTACTTGTGTAAACCCTTCACAATTAATGAGAACTCCTCTATTCCGTGGACGTAGCCAATCTGGGTGAACCACGTACATCTTGTGTTTGCTTTCCTATCTCTATCCATTTATATACTTATCCACACTAATGACCGGAGCAATCTAGCGAAGATCACAAAAAGTGACCGTTTTCGCTACCTAGGATCTATCTTGCAAGAGAACGGAGAATTAGATGGAGATCTCAACCATAGAATACAAGCTGGATGGATGAAGTGTAAGAGTGCATCCGGCGTGTTGTGTGACCGTCGTAGGCCACTGAAGCTCAAGGGAAAATTTTATAGGACGGCAATAAGGCCAGCGATGTTGTATGGCACAGAATGTTGGGCGGTGAAGCATCAACACGTACACAAAATGGGTGTAGCGGAGATGAGGATGCTTCGTGGGATGTATGGGCACACGATAAAGGATAAGATTGGGAATGAGGATATCCGAGGTAAAGTAGGAGTAGCCAAAATTGAAGGAAATATGAGAGAAAATCGGTTCCGGTGGTTTGGACATGTGCAAAGAAGGCCTACTGACGCTCCGGTTCGAAAATGTGACTACGGGACAGAGGTTCAGGGCCGAAGGGGTAGAGGAAGACCTAGGAAAACTTTGGAAGAGACCCTAAGAAAAGACTTGAGTACTTGGATCTAACGGAGGACATGACACAAAACCGAGCGCAATGGCGTTCTAGGATTCATATAGCCGACCCCACTTAGACCTAGTTTGGGAGTGAGGTGCTTAAAAAAAAGCACCCATGAAAAAAAGCTGTGAGGGTTTTAGGTGTTTGGTAAACTGAAAAAAAAGGGCTTATTTTGGAAGCTGCTGTGAGAATAAGCTGAAATCAAAGGAAAAAACTGAAGCTGCTATTTGCAGCTTTGGAAAACTGGCTTTTTTTCAAAGCACACGGAGCTACAGTGCTTCTTTAATGAAAAGACCCACTATTAGATTGCTTTTTTTTCCAAAAGCAATTTTACAAAAAAGTTTACCAAACACTCTGCTGATTTATTTCACAGCCGCTTATTCTCACAGCACAGCCGCTTATTCTCACAGCAGTTTTTTTTCAAAGCATAGCAATACCAAACCAGCCCTTAGTGGGAAAAGGCTTTGTTGTTGTTGTTGTTGTTGATGTTGTAAGCAAGTAAACTCAGAGGCTTGGAAAGGAATTATGGAAGTTGGTTCTACTTTACTCAACGGAATGGGATGGATTGTTGGTGATGGTAAGTAGTATATAAAATTTCGGACCTTTAATTTAATTGCGTTTTTCCTTTTCCCTTAATTTCTAGTAGTATTGATTACTCAAAAATGAAACGGTTGCAGATTATATTGAATTAGGACATTGGAATATAATGAAACTAAGAACTATTGTACCAGAGGGGAGTTGGGGCTGCTGTAGGCGTAATCATATGGGAAGGAGGAAGTTTCAGGGGGGCAGCGGCATTGCCTCGGTCAAGCGAGTGGAACTTCTTGCTGTTAGGCAGGCTTGCAACTTGCGAAGACTCTTGGGTGCGTTTAGAGCAACTCCCCCGGCCTATTGGTGCAATTACTGTAATTCATCGGGTCACCGTGTCATGGCCTGTTCTCATCGTCCTGCTGCTCCATTCGCTGGCTTTCATGCTGCTTCTAGCTATGGTGCGGATCCTACTTGGTTCCTTGATACTGGAGCCACTCATCAGATGACCAACCCTGGCAGTTCAAGACCTCCATCCTTATACTAGTAACATTTTTTCTCATAGCGGTACTGTCTCTCTGTCTCTAAGTTTATAAACATCGTTCTACGTATGGGTACTTATTTTTTCATGGTCTTATATCTTGGAGCTCATCTAAACAACTTACGGTTTCAAGTTCCAGCCCCGAATTGGAATACTGTGCTCTTGCTCATGCGTGTGCGGAATCCATCTAGTTATGTTTAGAGACTTGTCTACATTTAATTCCACCTATTGGAAATGCGCAAAGAATGCTAAATAATTCCATCTACCCAGAGTCCAAAATTTAGGAAAACGCAATTTTTAGAGTTTGCATGTACCTCCAGAAGAAGTTGATGGTTTAGATTAATTTTAGGTCTCTTAATTTCAAACTAAATATTCTAAATTGTTTTCTTATTATCTTCTCTCAGATCACCCATAACAAAAGAAGAAGAGAAAGAAAGCAGAGCTAATAATGAAGCGCCTGAGAAATTATTTTCTTAGGCCGTCGGGTTTCTCTTCATTGTTTCTCTGATCTAAATTAATTTACTACAAAGGTGGGTAACACACATTGGGGTGCATCTAACTTTTAAGTTCATAGCACACTCTTTAGAATACGACCCATAATCTGGTTGCCTTGGCCAAAATCTCCATGGCGAGCCCAGCGCCAACAACACCAGAAAAAGAAAAGGCTGTTCCTGCAAAAGTTGAAAGTAATCTCTCTCTCTCTCTCTCTTTCTCTCTCTCTCTCTCTCTCATATTCAATGCTTAATGTGTTTTATCGTTAGATTTGATTTTCATAACAGTTTGAATAATTTATTTCTCTCTCATATTCAATGCTTAATGTGTTTTAACGGTTAGATTTGATTTTCATAACAGTTTGAATAATTTATTTTTAATTTCAATCATTCATTTACCGTATCAATCAATGTTGTAGCATTGAAATTAGTTTTTCCTTATGCTCCTATTTTCTTAGAGATTTTTCTTATTTTAATTCCTAATTTATGTATGAATGTTATAATGTTGTTTTTCAAAAAATAAACTATTGTATATTGGCCATCTGAGGAGAAATTCTTGATATGCCACTGTGTTATGTCCCTTTACCTCAAATTTAAGTGCAAAACTAGAGTTACAAGTTTCTATAAAATTTTAAAGCTCCTGTGATACAATGCAAAACCATTTGTTATATAGGTAGTTTCAAAACATTTCTATCTTTTCTTTTGCCCCTTTTTTTAGTTTTTTATTGTAATTAAGAGCGAGTCTATATGACAAACAAGGGAAATAGATCAAGAATGATAAAAGTGGTGATAAAATTTAGGAATAAAACGTTAATCTATATGTGTAGTTTTTTTTTTCTTTTCATTTCTACAATTTTTTTTGTCACTTTATTCTTCTTTTTCTTTTTATATGATCCGTCACGAGTCGGGTGGTGCATATACATGTAAGTTGGTATATGATAGCACTACATTAAGAAGTTGTTGAGAGTATCCATCCTACTTGGGAAAGAAAGAACCTTGTATATGGTTATAAGTAATTGATTTATATTTCATATCTTGCCAATTGATTTTAAGGTGGAACTCAACTACCTTCATAATATCAGAGCATGTTGTTCGGCATGTAAAGCTCAATGGGACACATACTTCACGTCATCTAATTTGTGTTGTTCACGTGCTATGCTTGAAAATTCGTCACACATTAGGGGCATCTTGAGAGTATATTATTCCACATCAAAGAAAGAAATTACCTTGCATGTGCTCATAAATAATTGAACTGCTCCCTACGTTGTCAATTAATTTTATGATGGAACATATTTCATTTAGTAGGTAGCTAGGTCATCATGTATCATGAACACAACTTCTAATTATGGATTTTTTTTTTTTTTTTCTGTTTACGCAGAGGATGCAGGTTTGATTAGAAAAGGTAATTGGTCGGGCACACTTTGAAGTTTCTTATTTTATTCCTGCTTTACGTAGTGATTTGATTATTTAATTAACGAACAGTTTATTCCCTCAACTTCGTACTTATATCATTTCTTGTGCTTGCACAACAGTTTTGTCAATCAAGTCATTGGGTTTAATCAAAGCATGGGAAGAAAGCGAGAAAACAAAAGTAGATAACAAGTAAAACATTCAAAACCATTTCAGCTTTTTAGCACATTTGCTAATTTGATAGGAGAAACATGGCACATTTATACAACGTAATTAATATAGATTATTATCCATTCATTAACAGCTAAACTTTTAAAATCCATTGTTTAACTTAACTAATTATTCAAATTGTTGAACAGAGCAAAGAAAAAGTTTTCTAATGTTGTGGCTTGGGAGCTAAGCAAGCAAGCAACCATTGATGCACGTCAAAAGAAATATGAGGTAATTGATAGGACTATTTTGAATTAGAGAAATTTCCTATACCATTTTCTTTATCATGCACATTCATATTTATGTTTTGTCTCTTCATTTATAAGTGAGAGGTCTTAAGTTTGATTTTCACCAAAGACGAGTTTGAACTACATTACTACTAGCCTATTGTGAGGCTAAGCCCACTTCTCCTCCTCTCCTTAGTGTAGATAATATTATTTGTTCAAAAAATATATATTGATGTTTTATCCTTATTAGATTAATAAAGTAAATTTAATGGATAGAAATAAACACATGTATAGAAGGAGAAAATTGTGTGCAAAAATCACTTCTCTTGATAAGGATTGCACGATACTGTGGTTACCCGTACGGTGTTAGAGATGCAACGGTAGTTATAGTAGGTTTGCCCACTGGGTGACGAAATTATAGGGTCTTCTTGGACAGACCATCACATTCCTATGACCCACACATAAAAATCCTATCTAAGAACCATAATAATTATTTTACTCTTAAATGGTAGGGATGCTCAGTATAATATTAATTGTCATTAGATAAGTTTAAATTTTGAAATTTACATTGTAAATAAATTAAAGCATACTTATTAACGATAATCAATATAGTGGTGGTATTCACTAACAGTTTAGATTAGTGAACAAAAACGCACTCAGGCACACCTGTTGCATTATGACCCCACTCACTTCTCTTTTGATCCCACCAAATGAATCTTGACCGGACATAGCCCATTGTGCGGGCGCCCGCACCAAAAGTCTCTAATATCGGGTGCCAACTGCCCAACCCTACTTTGGATTGAACACATATTTAAAAGCTTGTTAGTCACCAAATGAGCTAACTTATGAGAATATTTTTTTTTTTTTTTTTAAGGAAGACTATATATTATTGACTTGAAACTGAAGGTTACATCATATCTTGGACAATGAGATTCTAAATAAGGTCAGGGGATCCTTGAACCAAACTATCACATTGCCAATTGAAGTAGCAAACTGAGCCAATCTATGAGCTATTCCATTATATGTTCTAGAGACGTGTAGAAACTTAGCAGGGTGTAGAGTTTTCGCAATCTGAAAAGCATCCTCTGCTAATAAACCCTAAGCCACATCAGATATGAATACATTGTAAGCATAGAATTCACAAACACCAAGACCAAAGCATGAATTACAACCTCGAGAGAATTAATCAATTATGTGTATAAGAAAACTAGGAAGAAAAGCATACCTGCAGCACCACCAGAACTCGAAGCCATAGTAGCAAGCTCTCAGTGATCCTTCTCTTCTCTTGCAGATTATCAAAGGCTCGACTTACAGATAGGTTTTAGTCCAGTACGAGCGTGTGTTCTGTGAGAAGAGAGGTCACCATATATATACATATAGACTTTACCAAACAAGACTAGGATTCCCTATCAAAATCCATATAGGAAACAAATCCTTGTTTCCGTGTCCTATAAAACTGATCTTAATGCTATACAAAATCCTTCTTTGTCAACGATCACCATTCCTTTCATCAACAAGACTTTCCATCAAATTGAATACCTATAAGCGGTCCTAAAACTTCTCTATCTCATGCTCATATTCTTGCATACATAACATAACAAATGAAATTTAATGCCACATCAGTTGGAACTCGAGAAATTTTAAGTCCATAATTTAGTCTTCTTATGAGTTTTGAGGTTTTATATATGCTTCATTATATCTTAGTAGTATATATATTAACTACGAAGGATGCTGATTATCGTTGCTTTCTAAATATGTCTAATGTTTGGCAGCAAAAACTAGAAAAGAAGAAGGCTTTGTACGTTGAAAAGATGCAAAACAAACTAGCTGAAATCCATAAGGCAGCAGAAGAGAAGAGGGCGATGGTTGTAGAGGGGAAAAGGATAGAACATAATAAGGTGGGCAAGAAGGCTGACGATTTCCGTGAAGTAGGGCTTGTACCAAAGAAAATCCTACCATGTTTTAACTATTGAATCAATTTTTAGTTTCCTAAGAGTAGTTCCACCCGTTTTAAGAGGGCAAGAGCAAGGCAAGGGCTAGAGCATGTGAATTGCTCTTGCAATTCACTCTGAATAGTATTTGCATTTGTGCAACTCCACCCATTGAGCAAGGGCAAAGGGTGATTACTATTCACAAATTATTTTTTTATGCCTTGTAAATGTGTTTAAGTGTGAACTTTGTAAGTTTTTTCTTTTAAAATAAACTCCATATTTAACTCCAATTTCAAATGAAGAGCAAAGCATAGCATTACAACATAGTACAATATTAAAATATTATTATTCTCAGTAGCCTATAACCTAGGGCATCCAAAGCGTGGTCCTAGTAGTTGCTAAAGATTGAACCACATTTGTGCTTGTAGTAGTTGAAAAAAGAATTGTGAAACAACATAATAATTTAATTAATCAAATGATTACTTTTAATCACCGAAAGGTCCAAATAAGAACATGTTAATTATATTTGAAATTTATTAATAGTAAAATGTTGTTACCTTATTGGCTAGATTATTGTCACTTCCATAAATTGCTTCTGCCTTTGTGACGGCTTCTTGCCAAGATTTCAACTCTTTATGTGGATGTTTGTACCTACTCGACAGAGATTGCTTGGTCTGGGATGTGCTTCGAATCTTCTCGACAAATTGTGCATGAATCTTCTTCAACATTTGTTGCACCACTTTCCCTCTTCAATTTGGCCCACTAGTGGTGGTTTTTGAGTTAAAGGGCATGCTTTAAGCCTTTACCCTTGCTATCCATCTAGAGTAGTTTCGGTTGTATGCCATTAGGTCCCTATAGACAAGGGGACAAGTGAATCATCATCAATGCTTGAAGATGCTCTAATACTAGTTTATTTTAGCATATAACATGTGACAATATGGTATTGGGCATAACAGTTATGTGTTACACCATGTACCTTAAAATATTGTATTTTATTCTTAAACCATGTGAATTGACCAAATTACCCTTGGATGGGTGTCTTGAGAAATTTTTAAGCCTTGACTCGAACTTCAATTTCTTATACTTTCTTAGTCTTCATAAATATTCATGTCATTCGAATGAGATCGGAAACAAAATTTAAATCAACATGAAGGTCAATTTGTAAATTTACAACTATGGAAAGACAAATTTGTAATTCACTTTAAGTATTTTGAAGTGGGGTTATACCCACTCTCGGCCTCTCATCCCTCACTTCATGTTGCTCTCTATCTAAACTCTCTCCCTCTTTGCAACTCACTCTCTCTAGCACCAAGAAAAACCCTCACCACTCACGATTCCGACCAAAACTCAACCCCAATACTGTAGATTTGGAATCCTTGAGACCTTGGGAGTTCGAATATGGTCATGCATGCATCAACGGGGCATCATAGAGTGCTCTACCATTGAAGCCGATAGCCCAAGCACTTAAACTCAAACCCAGGTAAGGTTTTCTATCTTATCTTCGAATCCCTGAGTCATGTATGTGATGTGATTTTGGTGGTGAATGCGAGGGTTCAAACATCTATTATTCCTTTGTGCATGCGTCCCCGCACCGGCGACTAACTTCGGTGTAAAACCGTTGAGTTCGAAGCCACTTGAGGTGACATTCTCTGTGTTTTAATTCGTGTGGACTTGAGGATGAATTGTAGGTGCTTTCGAGTTGAGATCGAAGACCCTACCTGTGCATGCACTGTGTTTCCGTTTTCCAAAATCCAGCGAGCTACTCAAAGCCAAACTCATCGAATCCCAGGTGGATTCGACCTCTCCTTCTCCTAAAATAGCATTGGGTAAGTTCCTAAGCTTCTTTAAACAAAAGGTGAGTGGACCATAATTTATATTAATACTACCAATAAGAAAACCATTGACTTTCTGAACATACTATCCATCTGTTTTGAAAACGTATATAATACTACATATAGGTTTTGATAAAACTCTAACATGCCAAAAATGTTCGTAGCAATAAAATCATCTCTAGAAGTGGTATCGAAGTGCTTGAAGGCAAAACTCAATAATCTCATAACTCAAATCAATGGTATAGTCAACTAGGGGTATCATAATCACCCGAAGGCATAACATGTCCATCACCTGGAGGTGAAGCTGTAAGAAACTGGGCTACTCTACAGGGAAGCTGCTTGAACTAGAGAGGATTGGATCACTTCCAACCGATGCACCTAAACACAAATAGAAAGCATTTAATAAAACTCTACCAAAACAATGGAATTTAGGAAAACGGACAACAAATTTGGATTTGGCACGTTAAAAAACCTAAGGAGGAGGAGGGACCTTGGGTTCCCCCACATGCCACCATGGGACGGCGGCACGAGAGACCACACACTGCCACATGCCGAGATAGGTCGTTGGAAAATTCACGGGCGGCGAAGCACAGTACCTCCAGTGGAAGCGCATGTGCTCCAAGTGTCGGCCAGGGCATCTCCCACGCGTGGACCCACACGCGACCCACGCACTAACCATGGAAATTTGTATCAGGCTTGGGTCGGGTCTGGGTCTGATCTGGGCTTGGGTTGCTGGGTTGGGCCTGGGTTGGATCCAGTTTAGATTCGTGTTCTGGGTGAGTTGGGTTGGACCAAGTTAGGGTTAATGGGCCAAGGGTTATAGGATTGGGCTTTAGTTATTGGGTTTGCATTGCCTAAAGGTTTGGCAAAACTAGTGTCGGACAGCTTCATTAGTCACGGCTAGTGCTAGTGTGTGATGTTATATGTTTCTTCACTGGCGTAACCGAGAGTCGTACAGCTTCACTTTCAGATGATGGGGCCTACCATGTTTCTTCACTAGCGTAACCCAATGTCATACAGCTTCACCTTCAAGTGATGGACAAATACTGCCTTCGGGCGACTATGATACCCCTAGTGAGTACATCTTTGATGAGATTTATGGATTTGCCTTCGGGCGGTGATATCACCATTATTGAGCATTGTTTTACACGTACATGTTTGTAGGAACATTTTCATGGCATGCTAGAGTTTTAAAAAAACCTACTATGTAGTACTATATATGTGTTTCCAAAACAGGGGGTTAGTATGTTCAGAAAGAAAATGGTTTTCTTATTGTTAGTATTAGTATTATAAACTTTGGTCCACTCATCCTTTTGTTTTGTGCCCCCTTCAAGAGTTAGAATTAAGGCATTCAATCTCGGCGTCAGGGCACTTTCGCATAGGTATCTTCGAGTCTCCTCTATGTAAGACCCGTTTCTTTGTCCGTACGTTTTTATGGTAATTCTTTCACATTATTCTTGATTAGTTGTATGCTCTGAACACGGTTCTACACCCCCTTAAATTAATGAATATTGGTTAAGAAATATGTTGAATTCAAGGAGGTCTTAATCGATTTCTGGAATTTAATAGCTATTGCTGGCGACAAACGGTGATGAATGGCAATAAATGGCAGTGAACGGTGACAGCCACCGTTAGAATTGACGACGTAGACTGCTATTCTATTAGAGTTAACAGAATCAGCTAAAGGTATATTCTGTTGACCCTTATAATATTTTCTGACGACCGATGCGTGGCACCAGCAAAGACATGTTCGCCAACAATGATGAAACGATGATGGCGCGTGGCCGAAGCACAACAATGTGTGGCGGCGTGTGCAGGACCCGAGACTTATCCTAAGGTTTTTGTATGTTCTGAGTCACGTGCTGCCCTCCGTTTGTGCAAATTCAAAGCCTAAATGGAAGCTATGGATTAAATTTCATAAATTGACCATTAAAGCTCATTTTAAGCTATATGTCAAATTCACAAGTTTAGTACATATTAAAAAGGAACCAGGCAATGAGCTTAACGAGGAAGGACGCTCTACTTACCTGTGAGTGACCTACTTGAAAACTAAATGTTTTTAAATAAACTATTATTATATGTTGATGCATATTAATATTATTACAAAAGTGGCTTATTGTGTCGGTGGTTGGTGTCGATTTTATATAAAATACTGGCGGATAAGACATTTCCGACACCCTCCTTACATGGTGTCAGAATTGTTGTCAGGTATAAGCGACATAAACTGTCTACGTTGCTTATAACTGACCTAGCTTTTAATATTTTTAAATGGTGGTGTCGTATAAAAAGAAAACATTGTCGCTTTCAACCAAAATAAAGTTAGTGTTGGTAAAAACGAAACACATGTCGCTTCTACCCGACACTAATAAATATTTTTTAAATATTTTAAAACTTCATGTCGATTGTAGCCGACAGGTTGGTGTTTCTATTTTTTTAAATACTTATCTTGCATGACAAAAGGCTCCCTCTTTCAAAAAGAGGATGCTAGTCTCCCTCTTTCAAAAGGCTCACCTCCCTCATTTATCTCTCCCTTCTTCCAAGAACACCCTAAAACCGCAGCTCTTCTCTGCACATTTTCTCAAACCCTAACCTTTGTTTCTGCAAACCAAACCTTAATCTTCCATAATCAACCCATAAGACCTCACAGCCATGAATTTACTGCATCACCAGAAGGGTAGCAGCACCAATCTTGGTGCAGACGCACTCAGAGGTAAACTTCTCACCCTGCCTTGCCTGTTCATGTACTCAGGTTCACGGATTGAAATATGCCATACAAGATAAAACATCTTCAACTCCTCATGCTTGTGTTGTTTCTTTTGCAGGGACCTGAGATTTGTATTTAAAAAAAAAAAAAAAAGACGATGCAACCACTAGTACAGCCCCAAATCGCCTCTCAAGGAAAAACCACTATGGAGTTGTCTTCGTTCTAGATCCATCATTTAAAGGTATAACAACAAAATCTATTCTAATTGGATGATTTGGAGGTGAAAGGTAGGAAGAATAAGTGGAACTCTTGATGTTTTTACAACCTTTCGCGTAGTTATTAATGTGTGAATGCTAAGCAGTCTAATGCATGACTACTAAAGCTATCATCTCCATTGAGCTCCTCTTTTATGTTCTTGTTCAATAAGATCAACAGTTCGAAAATCCATATAAAAATTCATGCTAAAGAGCAAGGACACTGGAAATCTCAAATCCATAATTTTTGAAAGGTATAAAACCTGAGTTTAATCTATAGAGATTAGAGCTCTAATGTTAAAGTAGTAATGTATTGGAGCACTGATCTGATGGCAAGCATGACAGCATGGAGCTGCCAGTATTATATATGGCAGCATGGAGCTACATAATCTGTGGTCTTTAACAAAGGCAAGCACAGGAACGCATCATGGCAGCTGCTAGTATTATATGCAAGCATGGAGCTGATTAGTATTATATGTAATTGTTAGTTTTTTTATCTTCATCTTGTAACCGGTTCTCTAA